GGGACAAAGTGAGAGAGTGGCATGGACATATATATACTGCCAAATGTAAAATAGATAGCTAGTGGGAAGCAGCTGCATAGCACAGGGAGATCAGCTTGGTGCTTTGTGACCAACTAGAGGGGTGGGATACGGAGGGTATGAGGGAGGGAGATGCAAGAGGGAAGAGATTTGGGGATATATGTGTATGTATAGCTGATTCACTTTCTTATAAAGCAGAAACTAACCCACCATTGTAAAGCAATTATACTACAATAAAGATGTTAAAAAAAAAAGTGTAAGCTTCATTGTATGTAAATTATACCTGAGTAATATCAGATTTGTTTTTTCCGATGTTGAATATATACTTCTTAGCGCTATGATTTCTATTTAAATTAAAACAATTATGTAACACTTAAAGTAATCTATTTTTATTATGGAAAAACTGCATATACCAAACCTCAAAATTTAAAAACCTGCACTTGGAGTTTCTTCTGTCAATCTGTGTACTACATTTTTTATACAAATTTTATATCAACCTCTTAAAATATGGTATTCTGAGTTTTGTTTTTTAATTTCATGTTTGTGAATTACTCAATTAAACATTTATTTTTAAGAGTGGTTGTGAAACCATTTTAGTTTTATTCTATAGGTTTTCATAATTAATAAATGACCTTATATTAATTTTTCTTGATGGGTTTAATAGTTTGATATCTCATAAGGCATTAGTATATATCTAAATTGATTTATTGCTGTTAGGCTTGGGATATATCATTCATCATTCACATTTTTATATAAGGATAAGGCGACTTTTTCCCCAAGAGAATTGAATTTGTGTAGGATGTGTTCATTATCCAGTCTGAGGTTTTTTGAGAAAGATTGTCACATTTGCATGGAATGAGATTAATCTATACATTAGTCTAATTTTTTAATAATATACCTTAGCAGAAAATGCTTTCTTTATTTTTAATTTTTAAAATTTTTGTATTTTTGTTTTGGCCACCCAACATGTAGGATATTAGTTCCCAGACCAGGGCTCCAACTGGCACCCCCTGCAGTGGAAGTGCTGAGTCTTAACCAATGGACCACCAGGTAAGTCCCTAGTTAATATTCAGCTTAGAAGATTATGACCTTTCACTGAAACTTAAAAAAAATACTTTGTGTTCTTATTGTTCTGGTTCCTTCCTTACATTCTTTCTTTACTCTTTGTTCCAGATTTGCCATCTTCCATGGAGTCATTTTTCCAGGGGTGTTTCACATTGCAGACTCACGAAGTATAACTAGATTCTCCCCTCTCACCTATTTAACTTGCCAGATACACAGTCTATTCTCTAGTACCTCGACTAATAATATTTTCATTTTATCGTTTTCATCTTCTAGAACTACATATCTATAGATACATGTATTATTAAATATGTGTTTTCCAAAAGTGCTAGACATCTCAGTACAATTGGGAAAAGACTAAAGAAATTTTTAGTGACTTTCATTTGTAACTGTAAAGTCCCTAGTTAATATTTACCTTAGAAAATTATGACCTTCACTGAAATTTAAAAAAGAATACTTTGTGTTCTTATTGTTCTTGTTCTTTCTGAAATATTGGTGCAATTGTAAAACAATTCCACTTTTATACCTCCCACCCCTGCACACTAGATACATGGGAAACAAGTTATACTGCACAGCTCTTCTTCTACTTCTTTAGAAATACAGCCTTCAAATAAGATTAGTCAAAAGCCATCTCAGCTTGGAAATTAATACTCCTCCCTCAATGTAAACAGATGAATTAGATGAATGTGACCCAAAGTTAAATCTTCTCTTCCCTAGCTTACCTGCAATAACCAGGATGACACTGAAAGAAAAGCCCAGTATGACTGTTTTCTTATCTTTATACCCAAATAGGTTTACCCAAACCCACCACACTGCATATGTATATATGTGTATATAGACACATATAAACACACACACACATTGGAACAAGTCAGCCATAAAAAAGTATAAAATTTTGCCATTTGCAACAACATGGATGGGCTTGGGGGGTACTATTCTGAGTGAAATTTGTCGTACAGAGAAAGACAAAGTATGATATCACTTATGTGTGGAATCTAAAAAATATAGCAAACTAGTGAATAGTAACATAGCAGAAAGAGATTCACAGGTATAGAGAACAAACAAGTGGTTACCAGTGGGGAGAGGGAAAGGGGGAGGGACAAGATAGGAGTAGGAATCAAGAGGTACAAAGTATTATGTATAAAATATATTATGTATAAAATATATAAGCTAAGTATGTATAAAATATATAAGCTAAGCTATAATGTATAAAATATATAAGCTACAAAATATATAAGCTACAAGGACATATCATATAACACAGGGAGTATAGCCAATATTTTATGATAACTATAAATAGAGTACAGTTAAGAATTGTGAATCACTATGTAGTACACCTGAAACTACTGTGAATCAATTATACCTCAATCAAAAAATATTTAAAAATCCAACTATGGGAAAAAATTTCATTTCTGTTTCAAGGGTCTGACAACCAAGAGACCCTGGAAGAAAAGACATTTCAGCAGTATTGAAAACTCCCACCTAGCACGAGTAACACAATTCTTGGGTTCTTAAAACAACTCTTCAATAAAAAGAATCAGACGTTTTTGGAAATATAGATGGTTACTGGTGTTGGGCATGGGAGGTATATAGTGAGACTGGATTATCGGTGTTGGGCTAAAAAGAAGAGAAATGCTCAAAGACCAACGGGGATAGATCAGGAGCAATCAGAGCCAGTTTCAAGAGGCACTCACTAGGCAAAATTTGGATCATTCTATCTTCAAAGAATGAGTATAATTGATTGTGATAAATTGAATAAATAAAAATGTAGGAATCCATGCTGATACAAACAGCAATTTCTTTTAAAGGCAAAATGTCTTAAAACCACCATGGAAGGTTACAATTACATCAAGTCCTTCCTCCAAAAATTGGAAATTAATGGGCAAAAATAAAGATTTTCCAAAACTTTTTAGGTAAAAGTTGAATGTGAACAGAGTCTGTAAATTAACAGTCATCTGTGCACAGGATGACAATGAATGAATGCAGAAAAATGATAAGATTTATCATAAAAATCACGATTTTCTTGTCAACAGTGAAATAACCGATTGTAGCCATGTGTCATAAATAGAGTCTACAACCATTAGGTGAAGATTTTGGAGAAATAGTATATACACAAATGTTAACATTAACAGCAAAGGTAACTTTCCAATTGTAACAATTTAATTTAAGGATGAGAAAAGCAGCTGTCACCAGTGATTCAGATTTAGATCAATTAGCTCCAATGGTGACAGCCATGCTTCTTATTCTAAGAAGGCCACTTGATTTGATGCAACATGGAGTAACAAGATATCACCTTAAAATGTTTTAGCTCAATTATTTGTATCCCTATTTTCATGTGAAATTTTTCATGATTTTTAGAAATTTATAATGTTTATAGTCAACTGATTTCAACTAACTATGCTGTTTGAAATGTATGAACTTGAGATCACACTTCAGACTCTTGTGGTTGAAAGTTTCCAAAACTCTCTATACCGGCAAAATCATGAAAACGTTATTAGACCTGGAGATCATTACCAAAGAGGTCTCTATAGTTCTCAACACTATATGCACTATATGTTGTTTTAACTTGTATACATTTTTATTGTAAACTAACATGCTATGGTTCAAAGGTGATATACAATGAAAATCTTACAATAGAGGTAAGTAAAAAGGACTTAAACACCACGTTTTACCCCTATTGTCTCTAAATTCAACTATAGTTATTCTAAATATTCTATTGTAGAATATTCTAAATATTCTATTGTAGAATATTCTAAATATTCTAATATTCTATTGTACTTGTTGCCAATATTTGTTCTATAAAAATGTATTGTGTTGAAGGCATAGTGTGTTTATATGTGTGTGTTTATACTTGATGTTGGATTTTTTGTCACTTATATGTCATGTGATTGGTTGCATAACTATCATAACGATAGTTATGCAACCAATTTGATTCTAATTCATGTTTTTTAAAATATATTATTATTTTTATTGATTTTAGTGTAGTATCTTTAAATATATTTAGTTATTTATTATTTTTGGCTGTGTTTGGTCTTCGTTGCTGCGCGTGGGATTTCTCTAGTTGCGGCGAACGGGGGCTGCTCTTCGTCGCGGTGCGTGGGCTTCTCATGGCGGTGGCTTTTCTTGTTGCGGAGCACGGGCTCTAGGCTTACGGGCTTCAGTAGTTGTGGCACGTGGGCTCAGTAGTTGTGGCTGGTGGGCCCTAGAGCGCAGGCTCACTAGTTGTGGCACACGGCTTAGTTGCTCCTCGGCATGTGGGATCTTCCTGGACCAGGGCACGAATCCATGTCCCCTGCATTGGCAGGCAGATTCTTAAATACTGTGCCACCAGGGAAGTCCTCTAATTCCTCTTTATGTGAATTATTATGTGTGCTAGATAGGCGTCTTGCAAAAGATCATGTATTTCATTATTTTTTGGTATATTTATCTATTGATGGATGAGCAAAAGTAAGAAATAACTACTTACATGTAATTACTAATATAGGTATTACATAGTTTGCGTTTCACATGTTTGTAAAGTGATGTTATTTTGAAAATGGAGACAAGTATTTCTTCCCATTTCTTCTGAAACAGAATCTTAGGAAACCTCAGAAGTTATGGAGAAATCTTTAGAAAGTTAGGAAACTGATGGATGAAAGGAGGTACTGAAGTGATTGCATCTAATTTCTTGCCGTAGATGTTTTATCAACAGGACACGTAGCATTTTGGTTTGCCAAGTTTTAATGAGGTGCTTTTACGAAGTGATTAGTTGGTCTCCAAGATTATAATTACATCATCCCTATAATGTTTAACATGAAGCTGATTTATGAATAGAGATGAGTTAAACACTTGATAAAAAGAAACTGAGAACGGGAATAATAATGAAAAAGTCTGAATACATGTACATATTTCAGTTTTACAACTGCACTTTAACCACAGTTTCATCCACAAGTAGGATATGCCACTTTTCCCTCCTGACAGGTTGTTCGAAATGTATAGCGAGGTGTCCTTGGACGATATCCACTTTTACACGTAAATTCAACAGTGTCATCTGTTTTAGAATAAAGTTTTTTATCACTTTTCCATTTTAATTGTATGTTATGTTTTTCCATCATTTCTTCTGAAATTACACATGCATCTGAAGTTAAAAAAAATAAACATAAACTGTTAAGTAGTATACAAATATTTTCCACAGAATTTCAGGCTTTCAAGTAGAATCTCTTGCTCTGGTCCAAAAATTCCTTCTCAAAACCTTTTACAAACCAACTCATTGAAAATCCAGTATGTAGTTTCCATCATTTTAAACAGCTAATGTAGTAAGAATGAGGTGCTATTTTTAGTGTAATAATTAAATGTTATAATCAAAGATTCATAATGTCAGTTGTCATATGAAGAGCGTTCATTAAGGAATCTTTTGTTGCTATTGTTGCTTGAACAGGAATTTTTCAAACTTTATTTCCACACATATTATTAGTTGGTAGTCAAGCATGCAACAGAATGGTTGGTAGTTAATCCATGAAAATTCTATTATAAACGGCTAAACATCATACTCAGTACACCGATTTTCCCAGGTTCCACAAGAAGATTGAAACATTTACCTAAGCACTTTGGTGGTTCTGACCACTCTCCATTCTGACATACTATGTATCTGTTTCCCTGAAGTTCATAGTAGGACTGGCATTGGTACTCAACTTCCGATCCTGGAGGATATACTGGTGCCGGGAATGAAGTAATGTCTCCATTGTCTATTGGTGGGGGAGGCCCACATTTTCCTTGAGAGTCTAAAAAATATGTTGTTTGATTTATTGAAAGAGACAAAAAAGAAAAAGAAACCCCACTGTTTAAAATAAAAAGGTAAAAATGTAGCCTAATATGTAATAATCAGGCTTTTTATTTCTGATGACAGAAATGATTTATTGAAGAAATTTGAAACACTTAAACGAAAAGGCACATTTTTAAGTCCCTACTTTTACCCCACATGAAAGTACACATAATACATTAACAAATATGTCTGCTTTGCAGTGTTCTGGTAGTAAAACATGTTTTCTTAGGGAATATATGCTGGACAGATGGATAACTAAAATAAAAAAACTTATCCTTGTGTACAACATACAGCAGTGTCTATTGAATCTCTAGTCATATTTATTGATTTTCATTTTTATTACAAAATGAACATCAGCCCCAACAGCTGCTTTTATAAAAGTCAAAGAATGACAGATTTCAATAGTGGGAGAGGGAATGCTGTCTTCCTTTTCTGGACAAGATGAGGTAGAAATATTTATGCTTATTGCATCTGCTCTGTATTATTTCTGCTAACTAAAAATCCTGAACATATTATAATAAACCAACTCAGGAGACTGTGAAAGATGTAGAGAAGATATCTGGTTAGAGACGTTGGGATTCAAGGAATTACACTCCAGAGACTTCTTTGGGTTCTCCTTTTCCCTTCTTAGTATCCTGGATGGACCACTGAGACTGTAACCCAGAAATGATAGCAAGTTCAGAAAGAAAAGAAAAAAAAAAAAACAGTCCCAAGAAGCACTTGGTTTCTTTAAGCAAAGTCCCAGGAAAGAATCAGCATACTAAGGGAGAAACAGTGTTTACAATCCTGACTTTCTCTAGAAATACACCATAGAACCTAAGACCAACCCTTCCCTGCCTTGATCAGCAGGGGCCAAGTGAGGAGTCCAGACTTCCACCCACATGGTGAGGGAAGAAGACACCTCTCCCATTTCTCCAGGAGTCAGTGGAGGCCAGGTGGGAACCCTGGACTTGCACCCTGCATGGCAGTAAGGGAGGTCTGATAAATAAAAGATTTCAATAACGTCCTTAATCTCAAAACATAAAACCCCAAATGTCATGAATACATTCGCTCATCACTCATCATACCAAGGATAAGGAAAACCTCAAAAGAGAAAAAACGATCAAAAGAAGACAACACTGAGATGACATACATATTGAAATTATTGGACAATGGTTTTGAAAAATCCAGTCAAGTTGATAGAACTGGAAAATAGAGTAATATAACTTTTTAAAAAAACACACTGGATGGGCTCAATAATACATTGCAGATAGAAGAAGGATAAATAAACTTGCCTATAGACTAACTTTGAAAATAGACTGAAAAGAAAATGCACAGAGCTTCAGGAACCCATGGGAAAAGAGAAAAAGATTGGAGACCCAGAACATGAAAAGAAAGGGGATGAGATGAAAAAAAAAAGAAAAATAATGGCTGAAAATTTCTGTAATAGGGCATAAGGCACAAATCTACATAATAAAACAGCTAAGTGAATTCCAAACAGGATAAACCCAAAGCGATCAATGTCAAGATACATCAAAATCAAATTGCTGGAAATTAAAGAAAAAGAAAGAAATCTCAAAAGAGCTAGATAGATATCATGCGATACTTATATGGAAAAGGGATTCAGAAACTGGTAGGATATTCATCCATGAACTTAGAACCACAAAGAAGTGACATCATTTTTTCAGTGCTGGAAGAAAAGAATTGTCAACCCCAAATTCTATATCGAGTGAAATATATTTTAGGATTAAAGGGAGAAAGAAAGACGTTCCCAGACAAAGGAAAACTGAGAGAACTTGTCTCTAGCAGACCTATACCTAAAGAATTGCTAAAGCAATTCTTCAAATATAAAGGAAACTAGAAAAGGGATGGAGACTTTAGGAAGGAAGAAAAAACAATGGAATTGATTTTTAAAAATAAGGGTAAATACAATAAGAATATCTTTTCCCTAATGATTTTGTTAAGTTAGGTGTAAAATTATGTCATTTGATATGTTGCTCAATGTATCTAGAGAGAATACTAAAGACACTTATGTTGAAATGTGGGGAGATAAAAATAATCTAAATGGAAGTAAGGTTTCCACATTTTACCTGAAGGGGTAAAATGTCAATAGAAGTAGGGAGTGATAAGCCGCTTATGTGAATCTTAATACTTGGAGCAACCGCTAATAAAAACATGACAAAACATATACTCCAAAGCAATGCAGATGTATAAAAATTAAGTTATTTATAATGTTCAAAAATCCACAGGGAAGACAAGAAGAGAAAATGGGGATGAGAAACAGAGGAAACACACACAAAACAAATAATAAAATTGCTGACATTGTCCCTACTATGTTAATAGATATTTTCAATGTAAATAGCCTTACTACATCAGTGGAAAGACTGAAAATGGCAGGGTGGACACATAAACAAGATTCATCTATATGCTGTCTACAAGAAAATCACTCTAAACATGAAAACATGTTCAAGTGGAAGACTGCAAAAAATACATACCAGGAAAAAGTTAACTTGAAAAACTAGAAGTGGCTAATATATTTCTTGGTTTGGATTCCCTTACTTCCTGAACTCTAAACACTGAAGTGTCCCAGGACCAAGTTCTCAGACTTACTTTTTTTATATGTATACTAATTCCCTGAATGAGTTCAGCTAGTAACATACCTTTAAATATCATCCATATGATGAAGATGCCCAAGTTTAAGTCGCACTCTGTGATCAGGCCCTGGCTGCCTATATTCCCTGTCTCAAAGTGGAATTTCTTTGGCTGTCAAATGTACGTATGGTATCGTTAACACATTTATTCACCAGGAAGTAATTGAATGTCTTAATATTTAAGATAAGAAATGTTCCAAGATTCCAACTGTTCAAATCTGGTCAACTCTTTCAAACAATAAACATGTCAGATTACTTATTCAGTCCACAAAAGAACTGGATTTTAAGCACCTTCATTTTATTTGCATCAAAAAAAATTCCATAGGAACTACTTCGTTATACATTTATATCAACATATTTTGTCCCTAATATATTCTCTAAAATTGGGGGGGTGGCGGTGTAAGATACTCTACCTTTGCACTGAGGTGCTTTTGTCCAAGTTCCATTTAAACATATCACATCTACCTCCCCAAAAAGGTCATAAGGCCAGGTGCATTCATAATGTACTCTCTCACCACTTTGATATCTAGACCTCTCATTTTGTATAATAGCATTTTCCACTTTGGGTGGATTCACACAGGAAACATCTAGATAGAAAGAAAAATAGTATCTGTAATATAATGATCATTATGAACAGTAAGCTAACAAGTGGGATGTCACATATATTCCATGGTCATTTAAAATCAAGAGTTAATCTGTCATGAAAGACTGCTAATTTTAATAAATTCACATGTAAGTTTGAGGATAAGGAGATAAAGCAATATATTTTAGTACAGATTAAGTTTCTGTTAAATCTCTCCCCCATCCTTCACTAGAAGGTTGATACACATTTTTTAAGCCAGTGAAAATGAAAGCTTTTCTGGACATCTCTTTCTGAGTTTAGTAAATTAAGTGTTATAAATTATATAAATTCAAAATGAATTTATAAACCATAAGAAAATCATAATAAAAGATCATTTGACATCAGGATTCGGTTTATAGTCATCCTGTTTATGAACTGTAACTTTAGGCCCTTAGAAAAATAAACACATTAAGTACTTCTTTAAAGACTTGATCAAGAGTTAGCATACTTTGAAGAATACCGTAGTTGAAAGATGATTAATTAAAAGATCCAAACAAAGATCTGGAAAACTAACAGAAAAATAAATGTATGTATTTATTAAAATGCTCTTGAGTAATATACTTTTGGGCTTCCCTGGTGGCGCAGTGGTTGAGAGTCCGCCTGCTGATGCAGGGGACACAGGTTCGTGCCCCGGTCTGGGAAGATCCCACATGCCGTGGAGTGGCTGGGCCCATGAGCCATGGCCACTGAGCCTGCGCGTCCGGAGCCTGTGCTCCGCAACAGGAGAGGCCACGACAGTGAGAGGCCAAAAAAAAAAAAAAAAAAATATATATATATATATATATATATACATATATATACATATATACTTTTGCAAATTCTTCAGTATACAACAATGAGTAATGTGTAATTCATCAGTGAGATTCAGGTGGATATAAAGTACAATACACTGTAGCTATGGTTCCTAAACTGAAATGTGCATAGAATCCCTTGGGAATCTTTAAAACAGTTTCAGGGTTCCATCCCCAGAATTTTTGATACAACAGCTGTGAGTGAGCCTGTGAATCTGTGCTTGCATGTCTAATAATCTTCCAGAATATGCTAAGACTGCTGTGTCAGGGGCTGTGCTTTGAGAATTATTGGGCTACGAGACTGAGCACTGAGTACACAATTCCATCCCTTTTTATGTTCAGGCATAAACCTTCTTTGACTTGGCCTGAAAATAATCTGTGTCCATTTTATGATGGTAGAGGCACTTTTCTGTATTATGTTACTTAAGATACTTAAATAAATAAAGTTTTAAAATTTACCAAAGTACCTCTGCATGCTGGCCTTCCTATCCATTTGCTCTTAATACACTGTATAGTATTGGCTCCATCCAATTGATAAGATGGTAGACATTTAAAAGCCACCTGTTCTCCTGACCTATACGATTTCTTCTTCCGGCCTATGAGTACAGCACCATTAAAGCTGGGTAAGTTAAAACAATCTGTGTCTGAAAAAAAGAAAAAAGTATTTGTTTAGTACATCTTTAAAAATAATAGTGGCCAATAATTATATTCTAGAAAAATAGATATATACATATCAAACCAATGAATACTGTACATTATTTCTCTTACAACTTAAAATGTTAGAAGTCTTGACTTAGTTACATTGATTGTGTCTATATTCATCAAAACTATAACATGGGAATGGTGATACTCAAAGAGACAGGGATGCCTTTGATGTTTGAGACCATACTTCTCACATTTAAATTATTTTTCCCCATCACAGGTCACCTACATTATGGATGTGTTTCTTTTTTTTGCTTCTGTCAAAGTCTGTTCCCTTGAATTATGTGAAATATCTTAGAAAATTGTATATTATAAAGAAATAACTGATAAATTAACAGTAAATTGAGTGCTGATAAAACTGATGAGCAGGGGCCAGCTGTGTTATAGGAACAGAGACCAGAAGTCTGAGAATGTGTATCAGAGGATGTCCAAAGTGTACACAAGATGATGTGATAGTGAGATAATTTAGTTCATGAATCAAACTTTTATTATTACTAGGGTTATTAATTCTCTACCAGAATCCAGAACTTTCCAAAGACAACTTGTTTAATTCTAGAATTACAGCTTAGTTTCATACTTGTGCCATTTATGTCCTGAATTAAAGATATTTATCAGCCTTAGAATAAAATGAAATATACTATACCTATGCATTCCGGTGGAAGGGGCCATTTTCCTCCTAAACATCTTATAGATGCAGGTCCATCGATCCCAAAACCTTCATCACAGTTGTAGGTAACTTCTTCTCCATCTTGGTAACTGTCTTTCTCATTAGATACAACACCATTCTGAATCAAAGGTGGAAGTCCACAAGGAAGTCCTAGGAATAAATGAAAGAACGATTTCATGTTTCACTAACTCTGAAATTTAATTTGATGTACTGCTTGCTATATTTGATAGTTTTACTTGAAAATAATAAATGATTTTACAGGAACTTCCATCACATTGCAGAGAAATGCACAAATGCACCCAAAAATCACCATTCTGGTGTGTTTCCAGCTGTCCACTTGACTAAGAACTTGAAACTAAAAATATCAATATATTTATGAATGAGACTATCAGTGCATCTCTAAGCAATTATGATTAATAAAAGAAAACACACTGAGAGTTCATCATCTTAAGAAAAGTACTATATATTGTAAGACATTAAAAGGGACATTGTAGGAAGAACGTAAGTTTTTTTTGAAAAAACTTGGTGGCAACGCATACACTGCAACTTATATGAATAAATAGGAATATAAATAGGTTTAACTATATGAATAGGTAGGTTTACTTTTTTTACACATACAGTGTTAATACAGAAGAAAGTGCCAGATTTAAAAGTGATTCTATACTGAACTGATGAAATTAACAGAAAATGAATATACAAAAATTGATTAAATGTATAAAAATATAAATTATATATTAATACATAAATGACCTATAAATATATAAAAAATTGATATATTTAGGAATCTAAAGGATTCTGTTCCATGACTTTGATGATAATTGATTAGTAAAGAATGGTACTGAAAATAGAATTTTGGTTTGCATACTGTCCTCACCTACACAATGAGGTGGAGAACTCCACTTTCCCATGTGGCATGTTATCACATTTTCTTCGGATATCCTGAAACCATCTTCACAGGTATAACTTAACTTGGTGCCATGTGCATAAAGCTTGGGTTCAAATGTTTCTCTCCCTTCTTCTGCAGAGCTAGATGATTTAATCGTTCCATGGTCTATTTGAGGTGGTTGAGAACATGGAAGTTTTTCTACATGAAGAACAGAGATCAAAGGGTAAAGTATAAGTGTAATGTTTAAATTAAAAATACGTTAAAATAAGAATAATTTGGGGCTTCCCTGGTGGCGCAGTGGTTGAGAGTCCACCTGCCGATGCAGGAGACGCGGGTTTGTGCCCTGGTCTGGGAAGATCCCACATGCCGTGGAGGGGCTGGGCCCGTGAGCCATGGCTGGCGAGCCTGCACGTCTGGAGCCTGTGGTCTGCAATGGGAGAGGCCCCAGCAGTGAGAGGCCCACGTACAGCAAAAATAAATAAATAAATAAAAAATAAAAATAATCTGAACAAGTTAAAGAATTTTAAAGCTGAAAAATATTTGAAACTTGCAAGGTATTTGTCTCCATAAACACTATGCTACTATCCACTTGTTCAGTATGCCCCTTCATCCTTTTTTAAAATTTATCTTTATTGAAATATATTTGATGTATAATAGTATGTTAGGGAGAAGAGTCAATATGGTGGACTAGGAGGATGTGGAATTCATGTCTCCGCACAATTGGGGCACCTACCAGGCACCATTGGGGGAACACGGACACCTAAGGGGACAGGAGGAACCCCCAGCAACCAGGTAGGACGTGGGTCATGGGGGGAATGAGAGGGGAGGAGAAGTGGAAGTGGGATGGGACTGGCGCCCCTGAGGGGTGGCTGGGGGAGGGGAAGGGATCCCTTGACCAAAGGGGGAAATTGGGGAACCATTGGGAGGGCAGAGGATCAAAAGAGAGCGTGGCCAGGTTTCTCCTGCCCTCTTGGGCCTCCAGGAGGCTACTGAGATCCCGGGACTGATACTCTGGCAACCTAGGCCCTCTCCAACTGCAGATGTCCTGAGTGAGTGGGAGGGTGGGAAGGGAGAGCAAAAGTAAAGCCTGGACCTCTGGGACTGGCACCCTTGAAGGGCGGCTGGGGGAGAGGAGGAGTTCCTACACCCAGCGAGACCCACCAACTGTCAGGGGTCCAGCAGGAAGGGGGGGGCCCCGGGACCCTGGGGGAGATGTGCAGGGACACAGAGGACTGGAAGGGAATGCAGCCAGCACTTTCCCTGTCCACTTAGGCACTGAGGAGCCTGTTGGACTCCTGGGCCTAATCCACTGCCCTTGGAGCCTCCCTCCTGTGGCTCAGAGCCCAAGCCCCACCCCTACACCCCATCAAGGGCCCTACCTCTATAATTGGAGACCCCCTCTGAGACCCACTCTAACCACGCTGGGCCTAAATCCCACCCACACACCCTCAACCAGGGCCTTACCTCCAAACTCTAGAACTCCACACTCCATAGGCAGTCCTTTAGACTTGCTGTCTCTCTGCTTCCACTTGAATGATGCCCCGCCCCCAAGGCCTTTTCTGGCTGCGTGGGTCCTGGGCCTAGGCTCAAACGTCAGCCTCCCTGCCTAGGTCCCACTCCACCTTAAACCCCGCCCCTGCCTAAGTTCCATCTCTGCCTAAACACCTGCCCCCCATAGCCAAGGTTTTTTCTTTTTTTCTTCCTTTCTTTTTTTATCGTTTTTTCTTTTTTCTTCTTTTAGATTGGGGTTCTGTTTTACCTTGTTGTTGATCCATTTATATTTTTATTTTTTCTAATAAATCTTTTACTTCTCTAATTTTATTTTATTCTTTATACTTTGTCATTGTTCTCCTTTTGGCTTGTTCCCCCCCTCCCCAACGCTTTTTTTTCTGTTGTGGTTTTGTTTTACTTTATTGCAGTTGTTTCAATTATATTTTTATTTTTCCTAATATAGTTTTTATCTTTCTAATTTTATTTTGTCTTTTAGTCTTTGTTATTGTACAGCTCCTTTCTTTTATCTTTTATCTTTTTTTTTTTTTTTTTTTTTCCTTTCCCCGGATCTTGGTTCCCAGGGCAGAGGTTGGGCCCAGGCTCCTGTGGTGGGAGCTCCAAGTCCAAAACTCTGGATAACAGAGAACCTCAGACCCCAGGGAATATTAATCGGAATGAGGCCTCCCAGAGGTCCTCATCTTGGCACCAAGACCTGGCTCTATCCAACTACCTGCAAACTCCAGTGCTGGATGCCTCAGGCCAAATAGCCAGTTAGACAGGAATACAGCCCCACCCATCAAAAAAAAAAAAAAAAAAAAAAACGACAAAAAGTTATGTTACAGATGAAGGAGAAGGTAAAAACCTACAAGACCAAATAAATGAAGATGAAAGAGGCAACCTACCTGAAAAAGAATTCAGAGTAATGATAGTAAAGATGATCCAAAATCTCAGACACAGAATGGAGAAAATACAAGAAACATTTAACAAGGATCTAAAAGAACTAAAGAGCAAACAAACAATGATGAACAACACAATAACTGAAATTAAAAATATTCTAGAAGGGAGCAATAGCAGAATAACTGAAGCAGAAGAACAGATAAGGGACCTGGAAAGATAAAATGGTGGAAATAACTACAGCAGAGCAGAATAAAGACAAAAGAATGAAAAGAATTGTGGATAGTCTCAGAGATCTCTGGGGCAACATTAAACACACCAATATTTCAATTATAGGGATCCCAGAATAAGAAGAGAAAAAGAAAGGGTCCGAGAAAATATTTGAAGAGACTATAGTCAAAAACTTCCCTAACATGGAAAAGGGAATAGTCAATCAAGTCCAGGAAGCACAGAGAATCCCATACAGGATAAACCCAAAGAGAAACACACTGAGACACATATTAATCAAACTGTCAAAAATTAAATACAAAGAAAAAAAACATTAAAAGCAGTAAGGGAAAAACAACAAATAACGTACAAGGGAATCCCCATAAGGTTAACAGCTGATCTTTCAGCAGAAACTCTTCAAGCCAAAAGGGAGTGGCAGGACGTATTTAAAATGATGAAAGGGAAAAACCTACAACCAAGATTACCTGTCAGGGATCTCATTCAGATTCAATGGAGAAATCAAAAGCTTTACAGACAAGCAAACAATAAGAGAATTCAGCACCACAAAACCAGCTTTACAACAAATGCTAAAGGAACTTCTTTAAGCAGGAAACACAAGAGAAGAAAAAGACCTACAGAAACAAACCCAAATCAATTAAGAAAATGGTAATAGGAACATATATATCAATAATCATCTTGAATATAAACGGATTAAATGCTCCAACCAAAAAATACAGAATGGATACAAAAACAAGACCTGCATATATGCTGTCCACAAGAAACCTACTTCAGACCTAGAGACACATACAGACTGAAAGTGAGGGGATGGAAAAAGATATTCCATGCAAATAGAAATCAAAAGAAAGCTGGAGTAGCAATATTCATATCAGATAAAATAGACTTTAAAATAAAGACTGTTGCAAGAGACATTAAATGACACTGCCTAATGATCAAGGGATCAATCCAAGAAGAAAACATAACAATTATAAATATTTGTGCACCCAACATAGGAGCACCTCAATACATAAGGCAAACACTAACAGCCGTAAAAGGAGAAATTGACAGTAACACAATAGTGGGGGACTTAACACCCCACTTACACCAATGGACAGATCAACCAGACAGAAAATAAATAAGGAAACACAAGCTTTAAATGACACAATAGACCAGGCAGAATTAATTAATACTTTTAGTACATTCCACCTGAAAGCAGAATAATACACTTTCTTCTCAAGTGCACATGGAACATTCTCCAGAATAGATCACATCTTGGGTCACAAATCAAATTGGAAAATTTAAGAAAATTGAAATCATATCAAGCATCTTTTATGACCACAACTCCATGAGATTAGAAATCAATTACAGGAAAAAAACAGTAAAAAACACAAATACATGGAGGCTAAACAATGCACTGCTAAATAATCAAGAGATCACTGAAGAAATCAAAGAGGAAATCAAAAAATACCTAGAAACAAATGACAATGAAAACACGAGGATCCAAAACCTATGGGACTCAGCAAAAGCAGTTCTAAGAGGGAAGATCATAACTGTTCAAGCTCACCTCAAGAAACAAGAAAAATCTCAAATGAAAAATTTAACCTTACACCTAAAGCAACTAGAAAAAGAACAAAGAAAACCCAAAGTTATTAGAAAGAAAGAAATCATAAATATCAGAGCAGAAATAAATGAAATAGAAACAAAGAAAATAATGGCAAAGATGAATAAAACTAAAAGTTGGTTCTTTGAGAAGATAAACAAAATTGATAAACCGTTAGCCAGACTTATCACGAAAAAAAGGGAGAGGACTCAAATCAATAAAATTAGAAATGAAAAAGGGGAAGTTACAACAGACACTGCAGAAATACAAAGTATCCTAAGAGACTACTACAAGCAACACTATGCCAATAAAATGGACAACCTGGAAGAAATGGACAAATCCTTGGAAAAGTAAAACCTTCCAAGACTGAACCAGAAAGAATTAGAAAATATAAACACATCAATCACAGGTAATGAAATTGAAACTGTAACTGATAATTTCCAACAAACAAAAGTCCAGGACCAGATGGTTTCACAGGCAAATTCTATCAAACATTTGGAGAAGAGTCAACACCTATCCTTCTCAAACTCTTCCAAAAAATTGTAGAGGGAGGAACAATCCCAAACTCGTTCTACAAGGTCACCAGCACCCTGATACCAAAACCAAAGATATCACACACACAAAAATTATAGACCAATATCACTGATGAACATGGATGCAAAAATCCTCAACAAAATACTAGCAAACAGAATCCAACAACACATTAAAAGGATCATACACCATGATCAACTGGGATTTATCCCAGGGATGCAAAGATTCTTCAATATATGCAAAACAATCAATGTGACACACCATATTAACAAACTAAAGAAAAAAAACCATATGATCATCTCAATAGATGCAGACAGAGTTTTGACAAAATTCAACACCGATTTACGATAAAAACTGTACAGAGAATGGACATAGAGAGAACGTACCTCAACATAGTGAAAGCCATGTAAGACAAACCTATAGCAAACATCACTCTCAATGGTGAAAAACTGAAAGCATTTCCTCTAAGATCAGGAAC